CTTCCACTTCTGGCTGCTTTTCCCATGACCTTCCCAGCCTTTAACTGTTCCCTGCTCCCCTTTCAGCTTTTCCCAGTTCTGCACAGATATTTGGTCACTCCACCCTGGTGTACTGTTTCGGTATTAGTAGGGAAACAGCCATCTTTTCCTTCCATGAGCATTGCATCCACAGTCATCTCTACTCCCGAGCTGAACCATATTCACTTTAGTTTAGAGCATGTTTAGTCCCAACAGAACATCTGAGACTTGTTTATCAGCCCACATTGACTGCATATGAATGTTTCTCACAGTCTTGCAACTTGGCTACATTTCTATGGACACTCTTAGGGCAGCAAAATGTACCTGGCAATTTGGTAATTGTACAGTTATTTCTTCTACCATCATTGTCAAGAACTTGTGGGAGTTTTATTATTAGCCGCACAATCATCATGGAAAATTTCAGTTCTGATGGTTACATTATGAAAAACATACAAGCAACTGAAAGCAAAGGTTTGAGCTGGAAATCGCTAACCTGTGCTGACTGTAGGCATCTATTATCTGCCCTAGCTTTAGCCACAGTATAGTGTAGAGAACAAGGAATGGAGACAATGCATACTTGCTAATAACATTTCCGTCCCATACAAATCTTTCCAGCCATCAGCAGAAGGCTCCCAACCACACAGGAGGTAATTTTCACTGAAGTACTCCAATCTTTTCAGCCTCTGGGATATATGTTCACACCTCTGCAACATGTAAAGCAGTCGCCTTGAAGATGGTCTAATTTAATATGATTAGGAGATTGCTCCAGTGTATAACCTAAGCAGATTCATGAAACGGGGTGTATATAACCAGCTCCAGCTATGATACATATCCTTCTCCCTTCTAAGCTTATTATGGAGAAGGTTTGAGATCCCCTGGTGAGCTTCTTATCTCCAGTAATTAAGAATATCCTAATGGGCATGGTAAGTGCCTTTCTGTGCATGTTGGGATGGACATACAACATTATGGTATCTTTCTGCTGACCTGAAGGAGTGCAGCGGTTGCAGACAGTTCTCTCAGACGTGTTGCACAGGGGAATGGCTCAGTTGTGACTCAGAACTATTTCCTAATAAAATATTTAACAGATAAGCACTAGCTTACTGTGGACACAAGCAAATTACTGATCATCATGATCATCACTAACACATTTTTACATGCAGGAAAAAGAGATGCAGAAGGAAAGGAAATTGTATCAGCTACCGACACACAAGTAAAAAGGAGGGTTTTTTTCAGTATCTTACAGTAAAGTCTATAGTCTGATCTTAGAAGGGGTTTGAGTGGAGAAAGTAAAAGCTATAAGATGATCAGAGACAGAATGTCAGAGGCAATATAATATGATGATCTTTGTGCATTTATATAAGCAGCATGTCACAAAGCAGCAAGTGTAAGACTGCAATATGAATAAGGTCTGCAGAGAAGGCAGCGTACGAATGTCCAATAACGGTGTGTTTTCACCGTGATCTTGGAGTACTTCGAGCAAAACTTAGGTGTGTTTAAAAATTTAATCATGACTTTGGAGGATGCTTTTGAAATTAGGCCTTTTATGTCCATGTGCATTTTTCTTAAGGATTGATCCACACTCCGTTCAATCAATGGAATTTATTCCCTATGTAAATGTTCAACCAGTTACATAGCTACTTTTCTCCTCATGTGAACAGCAGGGAATAATCAAGACTGGCTTAAAGCTTCTCCATAGCTTAAGAATACTGTTTCCTGAGAATCACTGGGAAAGCAAAATCCACCGGTGTGGCCACAACTTCAGGACAGATCCCTCTGCCACCACTCATCTCAGTGACTGATGGCGATACAGCTGGCCGTGCCGCTTCTCTGCATGGACCTGCGGGGCCTTTGCCTTTATTCCCTGTCCCCTGCTTGTACATATCACCCTGCCCAGGAAATATAGCAACTGGCAGCAGGATGGGAAGCAGATTTTTCTCTTTCCCATTTCTGTGTAGAAGAGGTAGATAATGTTCCATTCAGAGAGAGATAGAATGCAGGAGACATGGTGGAACGGGCCCTGTGCAGGTCTCATGTTTTGTCTGCTGTAATCAGTGGCTGATGGAGTTATGCACACTAAGAAACTCATTTCTTATTTCTGCTGAGGTCATTTTCCATGCTGTTAACGTGTGGAGCATTTGATTTCTCATTTACCAGCAGTGAAATTTGCAGCTTCTTCCATCCTTTCTCAGCATATTAACTACAGCTTGATGGTGGGACTGTTTGCAAAGCATATTTAAGAATTTTCAGCTGGTCCAAGATGAGCAGAGTTCTGACCTTGAAATCTTGCCTTGGCAACTCATATCCACTGCAGCTGATATGCAAGAGATAAAGAGATCTCTGTCCCTGGACATCTATGGGATGAGTTTCCTTTAGTTCTAATACTGCAGAATAGAAATATTATTATTCTACATCCTCCACAGACACCAGTGTTGGGATGAACGAAAATTTAAAATAAAAAGTGAATATTTTGATGAGAAATTTCAGATCAGTATCGAGATATTTTGAATTAGCTGCTCTAACTAGCAATACATTTATCATATGTATACACATACACCTATGTGTATGCATATAGCCCATACAGTCTCCCTTTAGAAGGAATAGGCACATATCCTGCTCATTTGTGATTTAAGGTCATTAAATAAGTTACTAGAAAGAGCTGTTAGTACCTGTAAATGAAAAGCAAATCATATAAATAGGAAAAAATAAATAAATCAGCTCCACCTTTCTCCTAAGTATTATGGAAACAAGGCTGCCTTGGATGACAGCAGAAGTATGGACACAGCAGTCTGAATTATTTCCAACAGATTCAGATCAGAGTCCTCAATTGCTGTGGTCAGAGATTTTGTATGACATTTGTTTGGAAGGGAATTTAAACTGCAATGAGGTATAAATGTAAAAGGATGCAAAGTCCTATCTGATGTGAAAGTGAAAGTGAGCTCTTAGGCCACATGCCTACACTGAAGGCGGCTGTGTTGGCAGCTGCCGCTGATCTGGATTGCTCAGGCAAATAATGGCATTGACAGAGGGCAGGCCAACTACCTAAGTGCTTATTAAGCTTCTTGTGTGTTTTTCCCCATTGTTAGTTTGGTACTGATACTGAGTTAATGATTTTACAGTAATGCTTCGCCCAGCAGAGATGTCCATACCCTGTTTTACAACCCCAAAGCGCTAAATGTTATTTACTCATGCATTGTTGACAGCAGTGTTTGGGTACCACAATCATCCCTGGGGACACCATAAGCAGTGAGAGCCTTCTTGGTCCTGTTCCAACCCCAAACCAAGTGCTACAAGAGGTGTTTGCTTCCCTTCTTTCTTTGCTGTTACAGACTGGCAGTTCTGTGGCCCATTTACTTCATTCCCTTCCAACCTCATCTTTCTTCCTCCATCTGCCTGCCGCCAGGTGCTGTTCTTGTGACATGGAAGGCAAAGGGGATAGCTGCTATCTGCATGCTTTAGTTCCATCCAAACCTAGGGGAAAACCTTCCTGCTTATGAGCCAGGTTGCAAGTGCTTCCCTTGATGACATTTCAGTACAATGAACATCAATAACGATTGATTTCTGAATGTTAGAACTGAACTGGTAACATCATGGTAAAAATGGTGATGTCTGGGTTTGAAATCTGTGAGATTTCAGTTCTTCCCTTCCACTGAGGTGCATGCTTTTAAAAATTGGCATCATGTGGCAAGAGCCAAGTCCCAAATATTCTCTGAGGCCAAGCCCTTGTTGTGAATGTAAGTGAATTTAAATGGATTCAGCATCAGTCTTTCTGCTGCTGTGGCTGTGCTGTTTTTTGGGTTTTTTTTTTTTGGTTGTTTTTTGTGTTGTTTTTTTTTTTGAGTTGCATGGTGCTGAGGAACGTGGAAGGGCTGTTGGTGGAGAGGATGGGTACAGAGATGGGAAAGCCCAGCAGCGTGCCATGGGTGCCGGCCTGCTGCGTTCTGTATGGGCGCTGGGACCTACTGCGTTCTGCAGCGTGGAAGGGGCCGGGGCAGCCCCAGGGGTGTGTGGGGTGCGGGGAGACCATATGCAGGGTGTGCTGGGGGGCACCCCACGGAGCCACCCTACGAGGCCGGGCCTTGGTGCCGGGGGACGGGGCCGCACGGCCGGGCGATCCGGGGACCCGGCTGCAGCGATCTGCAGGGCGCAGCGGCCGCTGCTCCTCGCCCAGCCTCCATGTCAGGCACGCATAAAGAACCATGTCATGCTTCAGCAGGGGAAGGAAGGGCCGGGAGGGACCGGAGCCGCTCTCTGCTCTCCTATTTTCATAGAAACCGATCTGTGTACCTAGAAAATAACAGGAAGGAGAAGCGCGGGGGGG